TCCCCTCCCTCTCCCTCCCTCTCCCCCCCTCTCCCCCCCTCTCCTCCCCCCTGCACACCCCACTTTACAACCAGGGGCAAGGTGCTTGGCAGGCCTTTATGCTTAAATGTGTCAAGACCTGAAACTCCCATCATCTAAAGCACTAATGCACGTTTGAAAGTGGTGCTGGTTGCAACGTGAGCGTTCTGTGTCAAATTTATTCTCTCTATCTACTATCTACTATTTATCTGAGCGCCTGCCTAAATTATGTTTGTCTAAGCCAGTACTACGGTGGACACGAGTTGTTGAACCATGAAAAGCGATATGGGCCCCACCTAAACCGATAACATTAGTTGGCACATTCAGACACATGTATCCGGAGCCCCACAGTATGTAAAACGATATGGGCCCCACGTAAAGCGACAATATAGTATTCCGCGATGTCGCACTGTGTAACGTGATGTTGTCCGTCGCTCTATCCATCTATATCTATCTATCTGTCTACTATCTACTATCTATCTGTCTATCTATCTATCTATAGATAGATGTAGATGATACAACTTTTCAACATGTGATACAAAATATGCAATATGTCATATTTATGTGTTGTATAATAAGTAGTTTTATATGCTAAAACTTGAACATATAGTAGATAAGATACCATATGGAATGCATAGTCGGTAATATTTTATGATTGATCCATGTTAAATAATATAGACTTCTCATTTTTATACATATGTATGTCATACGATATACAGCATTTTGTTTATAATGTTAATGCATGTTATGCATTTTTATCCTAAACCTTCAAGCCTTGAACAAGACACACTCCTTGCCGCCCCAAAAGTGTCAATCTGACCGTGAAAACAGTCATTGGGAACGCGCAGAAATCTTTCCAAACACGCTCATCCTCAAATCTACGGCTGACGCTTTGCTGTGTTCCGAATTGATGCTTGTTTCTGTGTTCGGACACCTTATCTGTATGGGCTTGGCTCACACGTTGCGACCCGTACCATCAGCTAACTGCACCACACTCATGCCACGTGAAAACAAAGGCTGGATTCTTGATAGAGGTTCTTGTATTGACCCCGTGCAGCCGCATGCACGCTTGGTCGTTGGGGCGGTTGTGTATGAGGCAAAGGCTCGGCTCAAGATGCCGGCCACGTTCCCGAACCAGGCAGAAGCCAGCCATATTGATGGCACTGAGTTCTATTGAGCACATCTGTTCAGCGCTACATATATCCAGGCGACGGCCCACCAGGTCACTTTGCCGCGAAGGGGTCTCCAGGCCCGTGCCTCACAACCTGCATCTCTCCGAAACAGGCAAAGTCACTTGATTGACGATGTTGGTTTCCCGTACAGGTGAAGCTGGGGCTAGAAGCTTCTTTGCGACGAAAGGGGTGCCCGGTCTGTGCCCCAGCCGAACAGCAAGACATGTGCCTGTGAAGTGTTTGGATGTGCAGGCAAGGGACAGCAGGCGCAAGCGCAGCAAGACAGTGGTAGATGCCCCGGCTCTATTTGTGACTTGCGGCCATTGAAGCTGGGGCGAACTGCCTTCTGCTGGTCAGGTGTCGTGGCCGGCAAGTCTGGTACCAAAGGGCCGCGTGGTTGTTGCCTGAGATTTGGTATGGGCTCCGAAATCGTGCTTTTCTGTCTTCCAAACTGATGGTTTTTCTCTGTTCGAAATTGATGCCTTTGTGGGCTTGGCTCACATGTTGCGACGCGTACCATCAGCTAACTGCACCACACTCATGCCACGTGAAAACAAAGGCTGGAATTCTTGATAGAGGCTCTTGGATTGACCCCGTGCAGCCGCATGCACTGAGCTGATTAAAGAAAGTCTGCTTGGTCGTTGGGGCGGTTGTGTATGAGGCAAAGGCTCGGCTCAAGATGCCGGCCACGTTCCCGAACCAGGCAGAAGCCAGCCATATTAATGGCACTGAGTTCTATTGAGTACATCTGTTCAGCGCTAAATATATCCAGGCGACGGCCCACCAGGTCACTTTGCCGCGAAGGGGCCTCCAGGCCCGTGCCTCACAACTTGCATCTCTCCGAAACAGGCAAAGTCACTTGATTGACGATGTTGGTTTCCCGTACAGGTGAAGCTGGGGCTAGAAGCTTCTTTGCGACGAAAGGGGTGCCCGGTCTGTGCCCCAGCCGAACAGCAAGACATGTGCCTGTGAAGTGTTTGGATGTGCAGGCAAGGGACAGCAGGCGCAAGCGCAGCAAGACAGTGGTAGATGCCTCGGGTCTATTTGTGACTTGCGGCCATGGAAGCTGGGGCGAACTGCCTCCTGTTGGTCACGCTGATCAGGTGTCGTGCCTGGGAAGCCCGGTGCCAAGGGGCAAAGTGGTGGCTGCCTGAGCTGCTGGTTCCCCGGTACGGGCTTTGCTCACACGTTGCGGCACGTACCATCAGCTATAGCTAGCTGTGAGCACCAACTCATGTACAAAGAATTGGCATGACAACTCATGTACAAAGAATTGGCATGACCCACCCCAGAAATCTGTTTGGTCGGCTGTGCATGAGGCAAAGGCTCGGCGCAAGATGCCGGCCGCATCCCCGAACCAGGCAGAAGCCGGCACGAAGCTGGCACTGAGTCCCAGTGAGCACATCCGTTCAGTGCATATATCCAGGCGACGGCCCACCAGGTCACTTTGCCGCGAAGGGGCCTCCAGGCCCATGCCCCAACGACTCGCACTTGGGTCGTGCTCATGGCCGTCCGCAACACTGGCCGGCAAAGTCAGCGAAGTCACTTGATTGATGATGCCGGTTTCCCCTACAGGTGAAGCTGGGGCTAGAAGCTTCTTTGCGACGAAAGGGGCGCCTGGTCCATGCCCTAGCCGGACAGCTAATTTTAACGCTACGCGACCCGCCTCGGCCCGGCCCAGCGGAGCCGCGTGAGCATGCTGATTCCGCAGCGCCCAAGTCGCTGGACCCCAAGCAATAAGGGTTGGGTTTAGGGTTTAGGGTTTAGGGTTTAGGGTTTAGGGTTTAGGGTTTAGGGTTTAGGGTTCCGGGTTTATGGTTTATGGTTTGGGGTTTAGGGTTGAGGGTTAGTTTAGGATTGAGGGCTTAGGGCTCAAGGTTCACGCTTTGGGTGTGCTTCGGGCTTAAGGTTTAAGGTTTAAGGTTTAGGGTTTAGGTTCAAGCTTAGATTCTTCGGCTCGTGTAATGCATCCCCGGCCGTGCTCACACCAGTTGAGCCTAAAACCCGCTAGTTGAGCCTAAAACCCGCTCACCAATATTCTGTGGTGGCTGTGGGGGGGGGGGGGGGGGGGGGGGGGGGGGGGGGGGGGGGGGGGGGGGGGGGGGGGGGGGGGGGGGGGGGGGGGGGGGGGGGGTGGGGGGGCCTCTGGTCCTGGGGGGTGGTGAGTCTTGCGGACCCCGGTTTCCTACAGAAGGTACCCATTTGAGGCCAAAAAAAGGGGTCCGAAAAATGGCTTTTGGGTGTGGGGCGAGGATTTGGAGGGGGGTGCCTGTTCTCACAACCTATACACCGCAGATTCAAGACATGCGTCTGTGAAATGTTTGGATGCTGGAGCCATGCATGCAGGCAAGGGACAGGCGCAGGATTCTGGCGCAGGCCTGAGCATTCCCATTATTGTCATGTCCAAAGGGAAAGGGCAAGGGCAGCAAGACAGTGGCAGAAGCCACGGCTCTGTTTGTGACTTGCGGCCATGGAAGCTGGGGCGAATTGCCTTCTGCTGGTCAGGTGTCGGGCCCGGCAAGTCCGGTGCGAAAGGGCAAAGTGGTTGTTGCCTGAGATGCTGGTATGGGCGTGGCTGCCCACACATAGACGTACCATCAGCTCACTGTACGCACCAAGCTCATGCCAGGATAGAGGCTCTTGGATTATCTAGGATTATCTAGGATTCACAGGAGTCCTGCCTAGCCGCATGCACCAAGCTGACTAGAGAAGGTCTGCTTGGTCGTTTGGTCGGTTGTGTATCAGGCAAAGGCTCCGCTCAAGATGCCGGCCACGTTCCCGAACCAGGCACAAGCCAGCACGACGCAGCCAAATCCATGAGCTAAATTAATGGCGCTGCGGCGCTGCATATATCCAGGCGACGGCCCACCAGGTCACTTTGCCGCGAAGGGGCCTCCAGGCCCGTGCCCCAACGACTCGCACTTGGGTCGTGCTCATGGCTGTCCGCAACACTGGCCGGCAAAGTCACTTGATTGACGATGCTGGTTTCCCGTACAGGTGAAGCTGGGGCCCGAAGCTTCTTTGCGACGAAGGGAGCTCCCGGTCCATGCCCTAGCCGGACATGTGGCATGCAGCAGAACTCCGAGGGCAAGCTTTGGGGTGTTGTCGTGGTGGTACGTGCTGCATCTTTTGCTGGCTTAGGGAAGGGGCAAGCGCAGGACAGCGGCAGACACCTCAGAAGTGGACAGTAGGTCAACAGCAACAAATTCGTTGCTCTTGCCGGCAGGCAAGTCTTGGCCACAAGGAAATCTTGGCCACGGCCCCTGAGCGTGCAACTTCTTGCGGGTTCAAGGATGCCATGGAGATTTGGCATTGCCGTTCTCTCTCATCTCTCTCTCTCTCTCTCTCTCGCCCCTCCCTCCCTCTCTCCCTCCCTCTCCCTCGCAAAGAAGCATTCAGTCCGTCGCGTCTGCTTCAGGCCGGAGCCAACACGACCAGCATCAAGTTCAAGTGCAAGAGGCAGCTTCAGGGTGAGTCGGCTGAGTGCTCTGAGATGGTATGAGCATGTATGAGCACTGTCTTGCTCTGTTAGATTTCAAGAGATCTCAAGCTCGCAGAGGAAGATTGGAATGGGGATCCGACAAGCGGATCGGCGTCGCGTTCAGGCTCCTTTGAGAAGATCATGAATGCGCCTGCATTGCGATGATTTGCGATGTGTCGTCAGCCAGGGAGCGTCGAGTCCTATACCGCAGTGTTGAGACGCTCGAATGAGAACGAGAAGTGGGGCTTCTTGTGGGATCGAGAGGCCGCGAAGGTTGTGCTGTCAAGCGGTAGCTGAAGATGGATGAAGATGGTAGCACGCAGGCCTTGCAGGTCAGGGGCCGGCGTGTCGTTCGTGAAGGCATTGTCACTGGCTCAGGGGATCGAATCATGGTCCAAAATCAACGGCAAGACGCTCACAATCTCTCCCTCTTTAGGCAGCGCCCAACAGCCCCTGGGCGATGTGGAATCAGCAGAACCCGAAAAAGGCTGCGCTCCCGGGCGATGAGCTGATTCAGGTGGGGAAGCAAGCATGTCACATGATGGTTTCAGGTCGATTTACAGCTGCGCTTCATGACTCACGGTCATGGTCATGCTTGCACCTTGCACAGGTCAACTCGGCAGCCCGAACGCCGGACGACATCGCCAGCCAGCTGAAGCTGCCGCCTTGTCCAAACTTGCGCCGAAGACCAAATCTTAAGAAAGATGGCATTGGGCGCAAGGGGTACGTTTGCCATCTGCGAGTTCCACCGCGAGCCAACGCGTGTGTGACGCTCAAGAGAGGGTTGAAGTGCACGGTTGAGTATGTTCACGGTTGAGTATGTTTGAGTGCGCGCTTGTGTGATCTGGGGGTTTGACCAATTGAGGCTCCGAAGGCTGCAGCGCAGGCCATGTCGACGTTTTCTGGGAGGGCTACAGCGCAGCCGGGTCCTCAATGACATTACATCTGCATGAATCTACAGCTTCTTGTCTGGCTGCATGGTGACGTGTGCTGCAACAAAACATGAGTAGTTCTTCCATCCTTGAATGTAGCATCTGGCCAATTCGCCCGTTTCTTTTTTGTGCTTCTCAGCATGTTTCTTGTTTTTTGCTTTGACTTCACCCTTTTCAGATCACGATTCCCCCCCCCCCTCCCCCGCCGCCCCACCCCCTCGCCCTTCCGCTCTCTTCCCCCCGACCGCAAGTGGTTGCGCGGCGCGCTTGCTTGCGTCATCTTGTATCCAGGCAGGGAGCCGTCGCGGCAGCGAAGGGTCCTTTGTCAGCTGCGGTTGCCAAAGCAAGCTGCAGCCCCAGCTTTTGCTTTGAGAGCTGAGAGCCTGAGCCTGCTGCAGCAGAGGTGGGTCCTTTGGATCTCCTGCGGAGTCTCCAAGGGGGCCAGGATCCAAGCCAGACTTTGTTTGCATGTTACGCTCGTTGGCAAGTTTTCCTTTTGCTGGGCTTGCCGTTCGATAGTCGTCGTGCCTGTTTCGGGGCATCTTGTTAAAAATACTGTTAAAAGAGACGGGCCCCGTGAAGCCCCGCAAAAGCAACTGCGAAAAGCAACCCCGAAAGCCCCCCGCGACTCCCCGCGAAAGCCTGGCGAAAGCCCCGTGAAGGCCTGCGCCTGGAGTTGCCGGCCCTGGCCCAGGTGGGAGAGAGCATTCGGGGGCTCTCCTGTTCGGTTTTTCCTTGAGCTCACTGATTAAGGCCCCGCACCCTGCGCCAAGAGGCCGCGGGCTGAGATTATCTGAGGTTGTGCCTTCGCCACAACAGGGGTTTTGACATACCCACGACTACAAACCATGCGCGAGTTTCTTGCTTCTTCAACGGTTTTACAGAGCTCAGTTCTACGCAGAAATGAGAAACACGCATGCAGTGACCCTTCCAGCCTATTCCAAGCGACTGTGAAGACAATAAACAAACAAAGACCCATGGCCCTTCTTCCGGTCCATTTTGTGAGTTTGACAATGAAGCGCCGAGCTGACCCTTCTTTCGGAAATATTCTGCGCTCTGGACGAGCTCTGACTGGACGTGAGATAGAAGCCACTACCCTTGCAGAAAGCACTGTTCCAGGCTTGTATGAAATTAGCAGGCAGGAGTAGATGGAAGGTAATTTATTAATTTTAAATTCAATTCCCAGAGTTTGGCGCAAGGCGAGTTGTTGTTTGGGGGTCTAACAAGAAGAACAAGAAGAACAAGAAGAACAAGAAGAACAAGAAGAACAAGAAGAACAAGAAGAACAAGAAGAACAAGAAGACCAAGAAGAACAAGAAGAACAAGAAGAGCACGACGCAAAAATAAGAAGAAGAAGAAGAAGAAGCAGAAGAATAAGAAGAAGAAGAAGAAGAAGAAGACGAAGCAGAAGAATAAGAAGAAGAAGAAGTAGTGGAAGTGGAAGTGGAAGTGGAAGTGGAAGTGGAAGTGGAAGTGTGGAAGTGTGGAAGTGTGGAAGTGTGGAAGTGTGGAAGTGTGGAAGTGTGGAAGTGTGGAAGTGTGGAAGTGTGGAAGTGTGGAAAGTGTGGAAGTGTGGAAGTGTGGAAGTGTGGAAGTGGGAAGTGGAAGTGTGGAAGTGTGGAGTGTGGAAGTGTGGAAAGTGTGGAAGTGGGAAGTGGAAAGTGGAAGTGGGGAAGTGGAAGTGGGGAAGTGGAAGTGGGGAAGTGGAAGTGGGGAAGTGGAAGTGGGGAAGTGGAAGTGGGGAAGTGGAAGCGGGGAAGTGGAAGTGGGGAAGTGGAAGTGGGGAAGTGGAAGTGGGGAAGTGGAAGTGGGGAAGTGAAAGTGGGGAAGTGGAAGTGGGGAAGTGGAAGTGGGGAAGTGGAAGTGGGGAAGTGGAAGTGGGGAAGTGGAAGTGGGGAAGTGGAAAAGTGGAAGAGTGGAAGTGGAAGTGGAAGTGGAAGTGGAAGTGGAAGTGGAAGTGGAAGTGGAAGTGGAAGTGGAAGTGGAAGTGGAAGTGGAAGTGGAAGTGGAAGCAGAAGAAGAATAATCAGAAGAAGTAGAAGAAGAATAATAATAATAAGAAGAAGAAGAATGTAATGAATATAAAGCAAGGTCCCTTTGCGCGCCCGCTGTTGAGGACGTGCTCCGAAGCTTCCCAAAGACCCCCTCAACCAGCTGGTCCCGCTGATGCTGCTGATGTGTTCCGGGCCCCGTTGATGCCCGGAGGCTGAAAAAGAGACCCGGAAAATACGGTGACTGTTTTTAAACATGTGGAGGGCGGGCCCGGGCCACAAGCCACAGAGGTAGTATAAAATGTCTATTTAAATTTCCGTGTGTTTAAATGTATAATCTAAGTGCCCTTGCTTTGCCCTGGCACTTGGGGCAACTCGCCGACGCCTGGAATTGGTTTTGGTGCTTTTCAGTGGTTTGGATAGAAAAATACTCGAGGGGCTCTCGGGGGGCCTTTGGGGTTTCTGGGCTTTTGCAGGCTTTTCAGGGCCGTGGGAAGCCAGAAACTCCCAGGTTTCTGTTGGCTTGGGGCCTTTCAGGGGAAGAAGCCAGAAAACACCCTAGGACAATGTCCTAGGTTTCTGTGGGCTTGGGGCCTTTCAGGGGTGGGAAGCCAGAAAACACCGTAGGACAATGTCCTAGGTTTCTGGTGCTTGGGGCCTTTCAGGGGAAGAAGCCAGAAAACACCCTAGGACAATGTCCTAGGTTTCTGTGGGCTTGGGGCCTTTCAGGGGTGGGAAGCCAGAAAACACCGTAGGACAATGTCCTAGGTTTCTGGTGCTTGGGGCCTTTCAGGGGAAGAAGCCAGAAAACACCCTAGGACAATGTCCTAGGTTTCTGTGGGCTTGGGGCCTTTCAGGGGTGGGAAGCCAGAAAACACCGTAGGACAATGTCCTAGGTTTCTGGTGCTTGGGGCCTTTCAGGGGAAGAAGCCAGAAAACACCCTAGGACAATGTCCTAGGTTTCTGTGGGCTTGGGGCCTTTCAGGGGTGGGAAGCCAGAAAACACCGTAGGACAATGTCCTAGGTTTCTGGTGCTTGGGGCCTTTCAGGGGTGGGAAGAAGCCAGAAAACACCCTAGGACAATGTCCTAGGTTTCTGTGGGCTTGGGGCCTTTCAGGGGTGGGAAGCCAGAAAACACCGTAGGACAATGTCCTAGGTTTCTGGTGCTTGGGGCCTTTCAGGGGAAGAAGCCAGAAAACACCCTAGGACAATGTCCTAGGTTTCTGTGGGCTTGGGGCCTTTCAGGGGTGGGAAGAAGCCAGAAAACACCCTAGGACAATGTCCTAGGTTTCTGTGGGCTTGGGGCCTTCAGGGGTGGGAAGAAGCCAGAAAACACCCCAGGACATTGTCCAAGGTTTCTGTGGGCTTGGGGCCTTTCAGGGGTGGGAAGAAGCCAGAAAACACCCTAGGACAATGTCCTAGGTTTCTGGGGCTTGGGGCCTTTCAGGGGTGGGAAGAAGCCAGAAAACGCCCTAGGACAATGTCCTAGGTTTCTGTGGGCTTGGGGCCTTTCAGGGGTGGAAGAAGCCAGAAACACCCTAGGACAATGTCCTAGGTTTCTGGGGCTTGGGGCCTTTCAGGGGTGGGAAGAAGCCAGAAAACACCCTAGGACAATGTCCTAGGTTTCTGTGGGCTTGGGGCCTTTCAGGGGTGGGAAGAAGCCAGAAAACGCCCTAGGACAATGTCCTAGGTTTCTGGGGCTTGGGGCCTTTCAGGGGTGGGAAGAAGCCAGAAAACACCCTAGGACAATGTCCTAGGTTTCTGGGGCTTGGGGCCTTTCAGGGGTGGGAAGAAGCCAGAAAACACCCTAGGACAATGTCCTAGGTTTCTGTGGGCTTGGGGCCTTTCAGGGGTGGGAAGAAGCCAGAAAACACCCTAGGACAATGTCCTAGGTTTCTGGGGCTTGGGGCCTTTCAGGGGTGGGAAGAAGCCAGAAAACACCCTAGGACAATGTCCTAGGTTTCTGGGGCTTGGGGCCTTTCAGGGGTGGGAAGAAGCCAGAAAACACCCTAGGACAATGTCCGAGGTTTCTGTGGGCTTGGGGCCTTTCAGGGGTGGGAAGAAGCCAGAAAACACCCTAGGACAATGTCCTAGGTTTCTGTGGGCTTGGGGCCTCTCAGGGGTGGGAAGAAGCCAGAAAACACCCCAGGACATTGTCCAAGGTTTCTGGGGCTTGGGGCCTTTCAGGGGTGGGAAGAAGCCAGAAAACACCCAGGACAATGTCCTAGGTTTCTGGGGCTTGGGGCCTTTCAGGGGTGGGAAGAAGCCAGAAAACACCCTAGGACAATGTCCTAGGTTTCTGGGGGCGTGGGGCCTTTCAGGGGTGGGAAGAAACCAGAAAACACCCAGGACAATGTCCTAGGTTTCTGGGGCTTGGGGCCTTTCAGGGGTGGGATGAAGCCAGAAAACACCCTAGGACAATGTACTAGGTTTCTGGGGCTTGGGGCCTTTCAGGGGTGGGAAGAAGCCAGAAAACACCCTAGGACAATGTCCTAGGTTGCTCTTTCAGGGGTGGGAAGAAGCCAGAAAACACCCTAGGACGATGTCCTAGGTTTCTGTGGGCTTGGGGCCTTTCATAAAACACCCCAGGACAATGTCCTAGGCTTCTGGTGCTTGGGGCCTTTCAGGGGTGGGAAGAAGCCAGAAAACGCCCTAGGACAATGTCCTAGGTTTCTGTGGGCTTGGGGCCTTTCAGGGGTGGGAAGAAGCCAGAAAACACCCTAGGACAATGTCCTAGGTTTCTGGGGCTTGGGGCCTTTCAGGGGTGGGAAGAAGCCAGAAAACACCCTAGGACAATGTCCTAGGTTTCTGTGGGCTTGGGGCCTTTCAGGGGTGGGAAGAAGCCGGAAAACACCCTAGGACAATGTCCTAGGTTTCTGGGGCTTGGGGCCTTTCAGGGGTGGGAAGAAGCCAGAAAACACCCTAGGACAATGTCCCAGGGCTGAAAGCCTCCAAGCCATTACAAAAGTCTAAGCCCAAACCCCAACCCACAACAACACCTTCAACCGACAGCAGGCAGCCGACGTCGTGGACGACCCCGTTTCCACGGGGGTAATTTTAATGGTGATGGTTTCCAGGTGTTTAAAAAAGGGGCGGCCCCACCCAACCCCTCACGGAGGTAGTATCAATTATTTGTTTTATTTATTTAAATGTCCGCATATTAAAAAATAGGCACCGTAGCGTGAATAGTGCAGGAAAACGACACCGCAGAGAGTTTTTTCCATGCACTTTGGGGTTTGGTCCCAGTGATGTCCCAAAGATGCTCGCCCCCTGGACTGCGCTTTTCTGGGTGCCCTTCTTACCCCTTCCCTGCGCTCCCTTCTAGCCCGGCCTTCCCTGCCGCAAGACTGACGCAAAAGCTGGGCCCGCAACGACTCTTGTAGCCTCTGTTAGCCGGGCCTAGCTCTTCAATTGCTCCACCTGATTTTCTGTCTGACAAATCATGGTTGGATGTTTGAACATCGTTCTTCATGGCCCATACGGTGGTGGGGCCTGCGGAGCAGGGCAAAATCGTGATTCCATTCACGGAGGCATGCGGCGTGCAGTAGAGCCGAAATCTTTAAACTTCGGACAATGAGTACCGTTTCCTGTGCTTCTCCAGATTCGGCATGTTTCTTGTTTTTTGCTTTGACTTCACCCTTTTCAGATCACGATTCCCCCCCCGCCCTCCCCCGCCGCCCCACCCCCTCGCCCTTCCGCTCTCTCCCCCCGACCGCAAGTGGTTGCGCGGCGCGCTTGCTTGCGTCATCTTGTATCCAGGCAGGGCGCCGTTGCAGCAGCGAAGGGTCCTTTGTCAGCTGCGGTTGCCAAAGCAAGCTGCAGCCCCAGCTTTTGCTTTGAGAGCTGAGAGCCTGAGCCTGCTGCAGCAGAGGTGGGTCCTTTGGATCTCTTGCGGAGTCTCCAAGGGGGCCAGGATCCAAGCCAGACTTTGTTTGCATGTTACGCTCGTTGGCAAGTTTTCCTTTTGCTGGGCTTGCCGTTCGATAGTCGTCGTGCCTGTTTCGGGGCATCTTGTTAAAAATACTGTTAAAAGAGACGGGCCCCGCGAAGCCCCGCAAAAGCAACTGCGAAAAGCAACCCCGAAAGCCCCCCGCGCGACTCCCCGCGACTCCCCGCGAAAGCCTGGCGAAAGCCCCGTGAAGGCCTGCGCCTGGAGTTGCCGGCCCTGGCCCAGGTGGGAGAGAGCGTTCGGGGGCTCTCCTGTTCGGTTTTTCCTTGAGCTCACTGATTAAGGCCCTGCACCCTGCGCCAAGAGGCCGCGGGCTGAGTCTCCCGTGCAGTCACAGCTCGTCAGGCGACGAAGTCCGCCCGAGTTAAAGGCGAAAACCTGCATTTGACACGACACTTGCGGATACCCCATTCCTCCGGGAACATGTGTTCTTTGCTTTGCTCGGCCAGCTCTTGTCCTTTTCCTTTTATTGCTCGGCCAGCTGGCCGCGTCCCGAACAAAAACACACGCGCCCGGAGGGTTGATTTGCTCGGCCAGCCGCGTCCCGAATGGAATGAACGCGCCCCGGGTGCTGTGCAACACACATATATATATATATATGTGTGTTTCTATAATATAGGAGGTTTCCTATAAATATAGAAAATAGAGGGATTCCTATGGAAATTTTGTGGAAATACAGCTTTCTTCTAGGAACATAGAGACAATCAGTTGTTTCTGGCTGAAAACGCAGAGATAAGAGCGGGTTTTTCTTACGAACATATAAGAAGTGAGTGACACGAGGAAAGTTTGAGGCTTTTCTTTTGCTAGGCCAGCCGCTTCCCGACCAAGCGCTCGGAGTGGTTTTTTCTGCTCTGCCAGCCGTGTGCCGAACAAAAAAAGGCCCCGGACGAAGGCCTACGCGAGCCCGGGTCCGCAAGTGAGTGAGAATTGACGTGCCCGGAGTTTTTGTTTCCTCTGTTTTTCTGGGCGAGCCGCGTGCCGAACCAACAAAACCCGCCCCGGGTGTCTTTTTCTTTGCCAGCCGCGTGAGTTACAAAAAAGACGTGCTGAACAAGAAATGTACGGAATCAAAAAACACTCTTACCACTACTCCGCTTAACAAAGCAAAGGCAAGCCACAGTACCTTTCGCACGTTGTGGTAAAAGACAAAGCCATGCCAAGCCATATTCCAAAGGTCCGGCGCGTTTTGCATCATCGTGCGCCGCTGCAGTTTATCAGCGTTCCTTCGATTTGAGCGGAAAGCTCTTGCACTTGAGTCACTTGAGCTTGCACTTGAGTCACTTGAGATCGAGACAGATCTCGTCTGCAAACAAATATCTGCATTTCATCCAGGGCATTCGGTTGATTGCTTTCCATAGCATCTCCCTTTGACAACTGTTTGTAGGCCGTAAGGTTCACCAGCAAAGGATGGTGAGGTTTTAACTGAACCAAAAGCTGATCATCTGGGTGGCCAAGGTCCCAGGAAGAAACGCCATGCCATAGTATTCCACTTGTCCAGGGTTTGAGGAGTGGTACTCAGTTTGCTACTTTATTTATCAGCACACCTTACACAGGATGCAAAAGAAGACCATAAGAGTGTGCGATTTGGGGTTAAAATGGGCCCCTTGCTGCTGTACGCATTTTCATGGAGTTCATGCGCTTCCTCAGAAGTCTATTAAATACGCTCACTTTGTTCATTAGGACCTCTGGGGCGGTTTCAACAAGCTTGGAAGCTGAAGTTATGTTCATTCGTTCGCCTATTCACTTGAGCCTCACTTGGGTTTCATACGTTCGTGAACTCTTTATAAGCCCAATGTTACAATGTTGAATAACCACTCACTCTCTTCACTGATCCAGATATTATCTGGAGATAGAAGATATGATGATGAAGATTGTGCAAAAAGAATGAGAGGTGAGTGGACGGGACGAATCCATCTGGCGAACCAGTATTAAGATTGGATCCAGAGGAGGGCGCTGCCAACTAGAAGTGCCATGTCTGTATGGAGGTTTTTGAGCGGCGCATGTTCGAAAATCGTTCAGGTTATGCCTCAGAACCAATCCAGGTTTGAAATCTATAAGGAGACCTTAAACTTCGGGCAATGGTTGCCGTTTCCTGTTCTTCTCCAGATTCGGCATGTTTCTTATTTTGTTTAGATCACGGTTCCACCCCCCCCCCCCCCCCCCCCCTCGCCCTTCCCTCTCTCCCCCCGACTGCAAGTGGTTGCACGGCGCGCTTGCTTGCGTCATCTTGTATCCAGGCAGGGCGCCGTTGCAGCAGCGAAGGGTCCTTTGTCAGCTGCGGTTGCCAAAGCAAGCTGCAGCCCCAGCTTTTGCTTTGAGAGCGAAGAGCCTGAGCCTGCTGCAGCAGAGGTGGGTCCTTTGGATCTCCTGCGGAGTCTCCAAGAGGGCCAGGATCCAAGCCAGACTTCGTTTGCATGTTTAAGTTCGTTCGCAAGTTCTCCTTTTGCCGGGCCGTTCGATATTCGCCGTGCCTGTCTCGGGGCATCCCGTTAAAGCAGAAGGGCCCCACGAAGCCCCGCAAAAGCCCTGTGAAGGCCTGCGCCTGGAGTTGCCGGCCCTGGCCCAGGTGGGAGGGAGCGTTCGGGGGCTCTCCGGTTCGGTTTTTCGTTGAGCTCACTGATTAAGGCCCCGCACCCTGCGCCAAGAGGCCGCGGGCTGAGTCTCCCGTGAAGCCCTGCAGTCAGGTTGTCCCAGATGCATCACATCGAGGCAGGCGATTGAGGGCGCACCCACGCCGCCCGCACCTCCAGGGCCACCCGGGCCACCTGGGCCCCCAGGTGAGCCAGAGACAAGCATGCTGCTCAGTTGAGTTGAGCATAGGAGCACTGAGCGCAGTCGCTGCTCCTGGTACCTGCAGCATTGGTAAGGCCTGGCGGCAATCGAAAGAAGGCCGCAACAGTTTAGGAGGTTTGAAGAGAAAAGTGATTTGCCGAAGGGACCGGCAACCCCAGACATTAAAATACGATTGCTCTTGAGATCTCTTGAGCACAAGAATCCATGTGGCAGCGTCAAGCTACCACAGCTACCCTGCCCAGGCTGTTCGCAGGCAAAGGTGGTCCCATGGCCATGACGCCCAAGTATGGCAGCAGCCTCAACTACTTGGTGCTGATGGGCTCTCATACACGACGTCCCCATACAAAAGACAGCATACGCTGCTGTCGTTGAGGAGCGATGGGGTCTATGCGTCCTGCTGAGCCGCCCGAGAAAAGGTGGCGACGGTGATCGTGTTTGATCAGACGGAGAAGCACGTCCATGCACAAGTACTCCAAGCACGGCAAGCACCTCGCGCAGCACCTGCATCTTGCCGGAAATGGCAGCGCGAGTCGGAGGTAGCTGCAGTGACCAGCTCCGAGCTCACCGAGCGCGCGAAATGGCACTTGTCATTGTGCGCATGCTTGCGTGGCAGGTGTTACTTCGGCCATGGGTTCTTGTAGATTCATGAATGATTCTGAATGATTCATGAAGCAGGGAAACTGCCATAACGAATCAGTCGCATCGCGAGCAACTTTTTGCTCAAGCTTAGAATGCGCCAGCTACGTCAATGAACACGCCAGCTTGAGTTGTGAAGCATGAAAGAAGGTTCCACTTTGTTCACGTCGCTCACTCACGAAGCCAATCTTAGCCCAGCAGAAAATCCACCGACCTGACGATAACATAACCCGCGCAAATTTGCCCCTGGTTGCCAAGAGCATCCCGGAGGCAGGAGAAAAGACAGCGTGTGAGAAGCACAGCGTCTGGACACAGGCGATGTCGGGCGATGGGTTGTCTGCTGAAGAGGCACCACTGCTTGGCCCGGGCTTTTGAAGCTGGCAAGAACGCCGCTCCATTTTTGTGGATCACAGATGCGACTCACATGGACGCGTGTGCACCTGGCTCTCAGATGTTTCTTTGAATTTCTTTAACATCCTTTAACCTGTCTCGGGGAGAGCCAGAGCCAGAGATGGATAGCCACCACAATCGGCATGTCAGCTGTCAGCAGACGACGCATGCTTAGTTCACATTCTCACCATATAATTCCGATGCTCGAGCCTGACCATGAAGAAGCTGGCCCGCAGGTGAGATGCACATGCTCAGGTAGCATTTCTTTCAGCAGCGAAGCATTGAGCAGGTGTTGAGCGTGGATCAGTTCCTCTACAAAGATGGAGTGTATGCTTTTTCTGCCGAACGCGTCGAGTCCGCCAAGACGGCGTGCTTTGAGAGGCCGCTTGAGCAGAGCTTGGGTCCGGATTGTCTGAGCTTTCGGTGCCGCATGCCCCCACCAACAGTTCCACATAGACCTAGGCTGAAGGTTTTGGTCCAGAATGGCCAGTGCAGGAGGCAGCATGCTACCAGTTTGCGTGAACGGTTTGAAGCCTCACCTTTGGACGGAAAAATTTGGATCAGGATCATATGCACTTGTGGATGCCCAGGCGCTCGGTGCCAAGAGTGTGTCAACAAGCTTGTGCTTCTTGCAACAGTTCGAAGAGACTTCGGCTTCGTTCCTCTTTGCACAACTGTTTCCCGTGCGCCAGCGCATGCCTCAAGGTGAACCCCAATGGTCCCGACTGAGGCTGGCAAGAGCACCTGGATAGCCGCACACGGCCGAGCAGAGTCGGCCGTGTTCTTTGATGACTTGCTGCAGCCTTGCTGCAGCTTTCAAGAAAGAGAAACATGCACGTTGCCCGATATGTGTTGGGAGGCCAACCCCCTACCAACTTGCAGCATAGGATAGCTTTGGTGTGAGTTGCAATGCAAATATATTTTATACTTCAGAGAAACTTGGATGAGTTGTGTCATGTGAAAAGAACAAGCAGTACTAGTGTTTTTGGCATCAATACTGAATTGAGTGTACAACTCAAAAACCTTGACATGGTCATGGTGCGAGCGTCAAAAGTTAGCAGCTAAGTTGATTTATATATACATATACAATATGTGTATTACAAGAACGTTCATGTTTTGTTAAAAATGCCGGTTGTTTTCGTGTGATAGAAGAAAACTCAGGTACACACCCAGACATCGCATGCAGTTCCTTGAGAACTTGAGCAAGTACGAGATTGAGGTCGCAGTGGAGATTGTGGCCATCGAAGCAGGGCGGCATGTGCCCCTTGGACAGTGGCGGTTCCCACAATGAACGGCTCAGGAGAGAGACTTCGAAGCAGCGCTTGCTTCCAACTTGGCACGCTCAGCAGATCGACAGGCACGGTGCAACTCTGCCATCACGCTGCGCATCTCTTGGGATCAAAGCAAGCACGGCGCAATCATGCCAGGTGCCGCTTGAGGCCATGCACAAGTATCGCGACAGCTACATCAGACCCGGCCATCTTCCTGCAATTGTGTGGGTCGTTGGCATTCGCACGTGATATGATATCAATATCAATAGAAATATGGTCTCGGGCTGCCTCCCCCCACCCAATGGTATCCACCCCCCCTCCTCCCTTGAATGTGATTGGGGGTTAGGGTTTCAGGTTTAAGATTATACCCCCGCCCCCCCCCCCCCCCCCCGCCGTGGTGTGGGTGTGGTTGGAGGGTTAGGGTTTAGTGAGTAAGGTTTTGGGGTTTAGGGTTTAGGGTTTAGGGGTTAGGGTTTAGGGTTTAGGGGTTAGGGTTCGGGGTTTGGGGTTCGGGGTTGAAGGGCCCGTGGTGTGATTCGGGGGGTTGGGGTTAGGAGTTGAAGGTTTAAGAGACCGTCCGCCCGTGCTACCCCTGCGCCCCCTGTGGTTTGGGGGTTAGGCTTTGTGTTTAAGGTTTGAGGCTTAGGGTTTACATGAGTTTAGGGTTGAAGGATTAGCCCCCCCTGCCTGTGCTGTGAATGTGGGGGTTGGCGATTGGCGTTTGGGGTTGAAGGTTCAGGTTAAGGGTGTGAGGTTTAAGGTTGGTTTAAGGTTTAGGGGAGGTTTGGGGTTTTGGGGGGGGGGGGAGGGGGGAGTGTCCCCAGCCTCATCCTCCCTTGGATTACGTGTGGGTGTGGTTAAGCGGTCAGGGTTTTGGGTGTAAGGTCTAAGGTTTAGGACCTACCCAAGCCCCCCCTGCGGAGTGGGTGTGGTTCGGGGGTTAGGGTTTAATTAGTGTCTGAGGTTTAGGGTTTAGGGTTCGGGGTTTAGGGTCTAAGGTCTAGGCCCGTGGTGTGATCTGGTTGAAGGTTTAAGACCCCCCCCCGGGTGTGGGTGTGGTTTGGGGGTTAGGGTTTAGGGTTTAAGGTCTAGGGCTTACAAGGGTTTAAGGTTTGGTCCGGCCCTGTTCCCCCTTTGAATTCCGGGCTTTTTCGAGCCGGCTCGAAAACCCGAAATTTCAGAAACTATGCTCGAGCCATGCTTCCTTTATAAATTTTGAGTTTTTCGAGCCGGCTCGAAAGACCCTGATTTTCTTCATTTAGGCCTGAGGGGCATTCTTCCTGGGATTTCGGGTTTTTTCGGGTTTTTTTTTTCGAGCCGGCTCGAGCTTCGTACCTGAAATTTTAACCCGTCAAGCCGAGGGGCATGGATTCTGGGATTTCGGGCCTTTCGGGATTTTTCGAGCCGGCTCGTTGCGGGCCTGGTAATGTAACAATTTTGAGGTTATTCGAGCCGGCTCGAAAGAACCTGAAATTTTAACCCATCAAGGCTTGCGGGGCATGGTTTCGGCGATTGCGGGTTTTTCGGGTTTTTTCGAGCCGGCTCGAGTTTCGTGGCGAGTCTTTTCGAGCCAGCTCGAAAAGTCCGAAAATTCTGACCAATCCAAGCCTAAGGTGTCTGCATTAATTTCTGCAAAATTCTCAACTCACACAAGTAGCAGAGCTAAAAATGAAAAGTCTAATTAGCTTAACTCAATAAATTAGTTTAGGATGAAGTACCTCAATTGATTTAATTCAAAATTAATTCAATAATTATATTTATTTTCATAAGTTCAATGAATATGATTCATGTACTACATGGTGCGCGGGTGATTCTTGCCCGTAGTACGGGACAAGCATTTTCTTGAGGCTGCAGGCCGAAACCGCTGGCAGGGGCAGTATTTCAGAGAAACGCCACAAAAAAGTGTCCAAAAAGTGGCGACTACCAAAATGAAGTAGTTTAGGACTCACAACATGAAAATCATCGATGTGAAATGGCGAGCCCCAAAGTTCGCTGGCCGCTGGCCATTCGCACGCAGTGGTAACACGGACGGAGTCATCGTTCGGGCATGGTAACACGGACGTTCTCATCGTGCGGGCATGGATGCTCTGGCCATTCGCGCGCAATGGTAACACGGACAGAATCATCGCGCGGACATGGATTCGCACGCAAGAGGAACACGGATGCAAGTCAGACGGCCTCAGCAGAGCCAGGGCTACCCTCAGCAGGCACAGGCTGGTCGGAGCCGGCAGTGGCATGGAAGAAGACCAAAAAAAGCGGCCGAAAGCCAAAACACGAGAAAAAGCGACAGAGAGCCAAACATAGATAGTCATATATAAGATAAAAAGTGCAAACAACAGAGAAGAACAAGCAAACACCCGAAAGAAAAAAAGAAGCACAGCCAAGAGATGAAAAGTGTCCAAAAGCAAAAACCCGCAAAAAAGCGCGTGTTGAAAAGGGCCTGAAAAACTTCAGGTGACGGAGGCCTCGGAAAAGGAGAAGAATCCGAGAAAGGCATAGTTTTCCAGCCGAAAATTGCCGAAGAGCACACGGGCAAGGATGCCCCGCGGTCCTACTACATGAGTTTGATGAATTTAATTGGTTGAATCAATGTACGTAGTGTATTTATTTTAAGTAGTTTAAACTCATCCAGTTCACCTGTTTCATTGAATTTGCAGAATCAGTTCAATTAGCTTAGATTAGGCCATTTAGTTAAGCTGATTTTGTTTAATTAGAACAACTGTGCGACGCACGTCGAACATATGTCCCAGGTAAGTAGTTCAATCTACTTAATTGAATTCATAGTTAGCTCGATAGGTTGAATTCACTCAAGATTCATTTATCTAATTTATCAGTTGCGACGTATGTCGGACATATGTCCCAGGAAATATGGTTAATGTAGAGAATCGAACTCAGAATGAATTGAATGAATTCAGCTCCTTTAGTTTAGTTATGACTTCCGAATTGCTCTGGGGTGGCAGGGAACTGGCATGCCGGCCGGGCTATCTTAACTTGGGGTCTCTCGGTCCGCCCGAGGTTGCGCTGCTCGGCGCTGGTCTTTTCGGCTGCTGCAACAGCTCGAGCGACAAAGCAAGTGGGGCGGCAGCCTGCTGTCAGGCGCCGCGTGGCCAATGATGCTGAAGAGTTGGTCCCGCTCGAGGCAATACGACCCGGCAGCGGTCGAAGAGCGGCAAGAAGCGGAGCGTGTGGCTGCCAGAGCGTGCGCGCTGAGGGGCATCCAGAGCCTTTGCATGTCGTGCAACACCTCGGTGACAACAGATACCAGTGTGAGGTTTGCGGTTGGATGGCCACCGGACATAGATGCAAGTTTGTCAAGAGGGTCTGCTACCCCGGGCGTGAGCAGCGCGGCAACGCTGCCATGCGAAAGCGCCTGGCCGCCGCCTCTGCTTCCGGCTCTGGTCGGCGCTGGCACGGCGGCTGGTGCGCGATGGCGGTGCTGCAAGGCCGTCCGGCCTGGCCACTGGGTGACGAGTCAAAGTTGCAAGCGTGGACATCGCAGCGATCGCCACGGCGTGCCGGAGTTTGCGTAAGATGAGGTGTGACTTCCGAACGACGGACGCGCGCGCCCGTTTTCCTACGGCAGACCTCTTCCCCCCGATTTATGCAATGTAAAAATTTTGCTTACTTAAAACTTCTTGACTAGTACAATTAAAATAGTGACTCTGATGAGTCGAGCTCATGTAGCCAAATTAAAATAGTTTACTTTATTAACTTAGTATAGTTAAGTTAATGAGTTTAATGCCTGTTTCAAAAGAAATTCAGTTCATGTAACTAAGCGAAACAATGTAACTAGTTTTGTTCAGTTACATAATTCAATTCAGTTGTTTACTTGAGTGAAATTGTTCATGTGTTTGATGCTGTCAGTTTAGTTAATTTATCTCATTTAAGTGGTTTCAGTAGTTTCAATAGTTCAGTTAATTTAGTCGCAATTTTGTTTAGTTTGTTGAGTTTAATGGATTCAACGAATGCAGTAAATAGATTTCAATGAGTTGGAACAAGTAGTATAATTACTATAATTCGAACTACATTTTTTTAATTTTGCCGTTCATGTAATTCAGCTAATTTACATAATTTCACTAATTTAAATACTTTGAATACATTAATCCGCTTAATTCAGTGAATTCATTTACTTCATTCAACTACGTAAATTAGGTTAGTTCATGTCATTCTTATAAGTAATTAACTTGGTCTAACTGATCCGGTAAGTTAAGTTAGTTTAAGGAAATTAAATTGAAATATGTTATTGCTTGAACGAATAGATTTCATGAATTTAGTTTGAAATCCCAACGCCATATTAGAGAAAACGTAAGCTAAATAACTCCTGTTCTGGTTTTTGCTTATCGGGCGATGCACACATGAGATTTCAGATGTTGCTTTTTGATAAATAGAATGTAGCTAAAACTGGTGTTCTGGCATCAGAAGGTCCGAAAACTCTGTGAGGAGTGTAGCTTCAGTATCTAGAAATGACTGAATCCAAAGCCGGATTTCGGTTTCAGAAAACAAGTGCTCCGGTACAGTCGTTAAGCAAGTTTTCACTCGAGAGATGCTTCGACAACTATAGAAATCATCGTAAATACCGATGGTTTCGTGGCTTGACGACATGAGCTTGAATCACAAGCCAGGGCGAAGCAGAACAGGAAAGGGCAAGGGTGGATCATGGGGGGGGGGGGGGGGTGGTGACGTGACCATATATATGAATATCTATATATATATATACACATGTATATGTATCTGTCTGGCAGGCATGTGTGTGTATGTAGCTGTTTCGTGCAAATCAAAGAAAGCGGTTGCTGAGGTGAGGGCGAAGGATTTTGCAGAGTGCGAGTTTTCAGAAATTCGTATGCAGACGAAACAGGGCTCGGAGGTTTCACCCTCGAGCTGGACTGGACGGATCCGGAAGCGCCATCTCAGGAGAGAGGAGACCAAAAAGGGGGGATGCCTTCCTTCCCTCGGCCGTGCATGGAATTGGCTTTGTTCAGTTCATTTCATTGCAACTCATTTGTGGATCTGCTTTGTGGCAGGCAGAAGCACTGCGCCAAATGCAGGAGGAAGCAAGTAGCTCCCCAAGACTGGAAGACATGTCATTGCTTCAAGGTGTGCCTTGCGAAAGCATACTCTGCAGTAGTGGTGGAGGGCCTGGCAACAAGTTGGAGTTTTGCCAGACCCATCAATAGTTGTGGCTGTACAAGCATGAGTGGACCCGAAATTTCTCAGGTTCCAAGTTACCTGATCTCCGCAGCGAAGGCCGTAAGCATCTGCGTACACGCAGTATGTCAAATGCACGGCTTGGAGGTGATCCTCATTGGCTAGCAAATGGAGCACACGTGGAACTGCACAGCCTACAAAAGGCTCAGGCGCAAGTTGACAAGTTGACATTCTGGAGGGTCACTTTGGTCTTTGCATGAGCAGCGTGCCAAGACGTTGAATGGCCTGCGCGGTGAGATCGTAGGTCGCGGCCTTACGGCCATTTGCATGCCCGAGAGACGTGTCCCATGGATCCTGCTGTACCCAGGCTTCGACGACAAACAGCTGAGATATCGTACAACTGGCATGTGTGCAAAGAGACGAAGTTGGGTACCGAATATGTTGTTCATGTATTTTCCGCTTTGTTGGATTCGGACTTGTTCTCGATTGGCAGGAGTTTGTGCACACTTTCACATGCCGAATGTAAATGGGCTTGCACACCGTCCACAGCTGTCACGGGGCCAAACAAATTCACGCGTGCCAAGCGTTTGCATGAAGATTTTCCTGCCGAGCGATTTCAAAACTTGTGATTAGGCTGGAAGGGATGGTCGGATGGATCAGAACGGCTGTCCTGTGCAAGTTTGTGAAGCTTAGCCTGCGTGGACAGAAAGGCATGCCTCGGGCTTTGATTGTTCTCGTCAGCATCCGTCAGCTAAAGTTTAGCGGATTCACGGGCATGTGAAGCTTTGTTCTCGGGTTCGGCGTGTGGGCTTCAACCGCTCCGCTGCAGCTTTGGGCAGGAACGCACAAGCGCAGGAGGGGTATGTGGGACAGAATATTGTTCGCAAGCGAACCCCACCCTCGCCACCGCAACTATGCCAGCTGCAGCTTGACAAAATGTGGAAAAGTTCAGCCAATTTGGCATCCCTCGCCATACCAGGGATGCCTGGTGGGACTCATGCAGTCGGTTGCCCTGACTGACCTTCGGATCTTGCCGGCTTTGACGCCTGGAGCAATTTTTTAAGAACAATTGTTAAGGTTGCTCGATCCAGGTTGACTTGGTGTGGCACATATGTTGGAAAAATTGTGTTTTCTTAGGGGCGGAGGATCTTGCGCTGCATCTGTGGGCGAGGATCCATGTAGCAACGCCGTTTCCGGTCAAGGCATATAGATGAGCGCCATGGATCAGTTGGATGATGAAAGTTACAACTTGCATCCATCGTCCGAGCAGACGGGAGCCCTCCATGATGATGTTAAGATGGTTCTGAGCTTTGACACGAACGCAGACCCTCAAGTTATGAGAAGTGACAACTTTGCAACGGCTGCGAAGAAGCAAGTCAGTACCCTAACCTTGGAGGTGTGCGAATTTCAGTTTTGTGCTGCGGTTTGGGATTTATTAAGCCTCGGCAAAGACATGCCAGGCGTGCGGCTCCACTCGGACAGCACCGTGAAGGCCCCCGTGGGCAAGCAAAGTCGAAGAAGTGCTGCAAGGGTGGCACAGTACTAGGTATTGATGCTGCAACTTGTTGTTGTGGCTTCCCAACACATATGTTCCGTTTTCCCGTTTTGAGGGTTTCCGGTGCTTTCCAAATCTGGCGCAGCCATGCATGCTTTCGAAAAAATGTAGGCTCAGAAGAACGTGCTCGATGTGGTATCTAGTGCCATACGGCTTGAAACGTGGAACGGTCATTTCAAGAATCCGCTCGTTTGCTGGCAACGCACAGCAAGGGAACAAACACAAAGAATTTGTAGGGGGCCGAGGAAGGGTATCCACGATCAGCAGGATCCAGAAGGAAGCAAGTGAGCCAAGCATACGGGCCGAGCATAGGGGCCGGACGATGCCAGGATGCTCGGGATACAAAGACAAAAGCGTAAGACCATGGAACCCTTCAAGAAAGGAATGTGAAAGTGTACAATATCATGAACCCAACCAAGTAAAGGGTAGTCATGCAAGTCCAAGAAAGCGGTCCTCCTAATGGAGGTCAGTCAGGGTGGAACCAGCGAGGCACTTCGGATGACAACTCTGTTTGCAAAGGTGTGCTCAAAACTGCAACTAATCTGACAAAGTCACGACTCGGGGCCGAAAGTGCTTCAGCCACTGTGGGTCGTCGTCATATCAGGTCGTTGCCAAGAAGAACCTACGCTTGCTGACACTGGAGGACCGTCACGTAGCATCCAGTACAGTGCAGGCATGTCTGAATCTGCAACGCCAATCTTTATGTGTACTGCCTCTGCAGACCACCACCCATAATCTGTTGACAGCCAATACCATGCCAATACCCAGAACATGTCCAGCCCCGTGGCCTCCCCGAAAGAGTTGCCTATGCAGGATCTACAGCCTCCACCGATGGTCTGCGGCTCGGGCAACGTAACTTGCAAGCCATGTGGACACTAGCTTGGTTCCCTCTTTCTCTCACACACTATTGCTTGTCCCTCTCCTCGTTCATTTCATCTGCAGTTTGACCTGGCACGTGTATGTGTGAAAGATACAGAGTGCTTCGCGGCGTGACGGCGAAACAGCTCTGAAGCTGACGGTTGCTTTGGGAATCCATGAAAAGAGGGCGAGCTGTGCACCTGCCATCGAGGACACACTCACACCCGTGCGGCTCGGGCCCGCGGGCGCGTCGGCCCCCAGCGGAATTCTCAGCTCGATTGGCCTTCGCTGTGCCGAATGTACGGAGACTGCTCTGCAGACCTCTTCATGCGTTTGGTTGTGCAAGGTGGTGGGTGGTGATCTTCATTGTTTTTCGATCTACACAACTTAAGGTCGGTCCAGTGCAATGGCTCTGCCAGGCGCTTCGTGCCAGTCAAGCTCAAGCCAAAGCTTGCAAGGTATGTGTGTACAAATACACACATACGTATATATATATATATATATGCATCTTACATATGTATGCATAGTGAGTACCGTACCGGAGATTCCTGCCGTGACCATGTTTTGCCATGCCATGCCGTGCCTCTGGTGCTGGCCAGGTGCTGGCCCGATCACGCGTGAAATGGTCCGAATCTTTGGTCCAGTAGCAGAGTGCCACACAGTTTCACACACCAGGTTGCACATTGAAATTTGCACACAATGCTTCAGGCGCTCAGTGTGCTGGGTCCATGTTTATCCCATGCTTTGTCACTGACATTTGCACGGACACCGTCGTGCTTAGGTTCTCAAGGCTATCGACCGCGTAAAGGCTGACACTGCCGCCTTGCAGCAGCGCCGGGATTCTCAGGGCACCTTGTTTTTTGGTAGGAGTGCGTCCTGCCGATTGCTAAAAACCGTAAAAGAGCTCTCTGCCACGCGCGGCTACATGTTGCTTACAGGTCCCCCAGACAGTGCATGTTACCTAGGAGAAAACTCGAAAGAAACCCGAAATGGTGACATGCTTCGAGCCTTGCAAAGTACCTTACTCCAAGGCTTGCAACTAGGCTACAACCCGTGTTTTCTGCACTTCCTCCTGTAACCTTCACAAGCGTGCAGTTTTAAACAACAGGACGGGAGGCGCTCCTACTCTTACCTTGCTGTTGCACGTGTTTTGGGCATCATGGAGTTAGCTAAGGAATCGCTGCACGGCGAGAAGGCTTGGGGTTGGCTTGGGTCGCTTCATGCACATCACAGAGTAGCACAGATCAAAACGGCACTCTTGAGAGCCTCAGATGGAAGCCGAGTGTGTGTGTGTGTGTGTGTGTGTGTGTGTGTGTTTAGTTTTGTTACTTGGCCAGGCAACGCAGCTATCACTGAGGACATCTGCGACGTCTACTTGAGGCAAATCCAGCAAACAGAGGCATGCCAACTGCCAACCCGGAGCATGCCCTGAACAGGCTGACCGCTTCCGAGGAATCATATCGGGAAGTTAAGGAGCTCTACCAAAGCCAGAATGGCCGCGAGGAGGAGCCTGATCCACTGGCTCCTTCGCTTCTGGAGCAGATTACGCCACTTCCGCAGCCTTCGCCAGGACTTAGAGCTGCTGGGGAATGCGGCCTTGGAAAACGTTGAGGCCCGGAGCTGGGACACCAGACAACATGCCCAGCCGTGGCACCAGTCAGGGCATCATGCCTGTTACACATTGCATCACAGTACTTTTGCCAGGTTGTCGCAGAGCAGTATTTCGAAGTTCGATCCTGGCAAGAGTATTTCAAGGACCTTCAATGCATGCTCAAGCATCAAATCAACATAACATTCATGGGGCTTCACGCAGTTTTCGGCCACACGCCGCACAGGACGAGGTCAACGTGACCAAGTACAATGTCAAAAAGCATGGCGTCGCTGGCTCAGAGAGCTGCGAAGCATGTGAGGTAGGGTCTCTATGACTGTTATTGGTGTAAGGTTCCTTCTAAATAATATGGTGAGTGTATACTCATAATGACAGCCTGTTGTACTGTTTGTGTGCGGCATTGCTGCTTGGGCACAGATACTCGGAACGCTCAAGAACGAGGTGGTTGAGGCTTGCGGGGTTCCCTTGCTCTCCATTGCTCCGACGCCGTCTCCCTCTCTCCCTCTCCCGGCTGTGCCACTCTCTCGCAGTATCTCGCAGTAGAACCGAAACCTCTGACTCGAGACAGTAAAAAGCGACAGCAGGTCGGCAATGACGTGAAGGACCTTGGCCGCGGAGCTGCCACTGTTGTCCAAAGCGGGCGTGAGCAGGCTCGGACTGTCACTGACTTCAACTGACAGTATTCTGGTACCTGAGGAGCCCATGGTAAACGGACCTCCAAGCCGGGAAAACTTGGAACAACCCCCACATAGG